GTTTGGATCACATTTGCGTATAAAGCACAAAAACTACCATACTACGTTATGTTATCGAGCGAGCAGGTTAGCAGCAATACTGAATGCAGTTGATTTCAATTGAACACTCATTCGTTATTTTATGTTTTCAGACCAATATTTATCTGTTTCTTTATATTTGTCAATCAATAAAAAAAGGAAAATAGTGCAACAAGGTTGATACATATGAAATGTGTTGTTCCGACTAATAAGATACGATAACGTATCATTCATCATAATCAAAACGTAGGCTGAAAGAAACAACAATATAAGTCATAATACGGACAGTGACTAGAATCACGAAGTCAAGTAGCCAGTCCCACCGAGTTAGCTCCACTAATACACTGTAACCTCTTTCTGAAGCTCGCAACGACCAATCAAATTCTATCGTAACTAAAATAATATTAGACTGAACGGTCTCCGCGGTAGCTCAGAGGTAGAGCCCTAACCGGTAATTGGTACGTCGCGAGTTCGATTCCCGTTCGCGGAGAAAAGNCGTCGCGGGTTCGATGCCCGTTTGTGGAGGAAACTTTTGCTCGAAACCGAGCGGAGCACCAATATCATTAATGTTGTGAGCCTGAGCCAGGCAATGATCCGGCTTGGATCTATTATCCAATTATCTGTTAAAATAATACTGTGCATCTTCCAGGAATGGTCATTTGTAGCGTATCTCATATCGGCTGCCGTACTGAAATTCATCGCTCTAGTACATAAAAGTGTTCACCTAATGCTATCGAAAACATTTTTCATCGATTGGGAAAAACCAATGGAGGTGATACCGATGAGTGTCGATAATCAGAAACCTTTACGGTATACCGAACGTCAGCCGAACACAGCCACCACGAACCCAACCGTTATATGGTCAGCATCATCAGAAAATCCTATTGATTAAAACCGTTGATTGAAATAAAGGGTGACATTTCAAATTATACCCTGGAAAGCACAATTTGCCCAAGATAAATTATTATTAAATTAATTCCCCTTTGTGAGGTTAACGCTACCCATATCTTCTTCCATCTGAATAACTATACAGAACTGATGGAAACTTTTTGCCTAAAACAACGTTACGTATTCATGGAGATCAGGTGATTCTTGATCTTGATCATCATTCTTAATTTAACAAGATTCTTGACCATCAGAAAGATTCCCATTCAAATTCATGGAAGTGATCAGTTGATGTTTGAGGCGAACCTATTTGGTAGCAAATGAATGGAACGAGCTACAAAATTACCGCAAGACAAGCATCGCAATTCAAATGATCGCAATGTTCGCATGCTTGGAATGGCTTGAACTCAAAAATTGGGCCGCTATTACACCTGGTTTCTCCGCAGGTTATACCGCTTAAGTTTCTTTCAGCTGTTTCCTAAAATGAACTCCAATTCATACCAATTGTTTACTTGACTGCATATCAATTGATTACAGATGAACAGATCATTATCAATTCATTACTTGATTGAATATCACTTGAACGCTATCAGCTGATTACTCGAGAGCATCAGATCGGTGTTTAACACACTATTATGCAAAACACCGCCGCACTCATCCTGCCTAATGATAAATAAGAATTCAAATCCGATCGTAAAATATTGATAAGAAGATAATTTCTTCAGCAACCGATAAACCATTCAGTCAATCCAANGATCGCAAAATATTGATAGAAGATAATTTCATCACTAACCAATAAACCATTCAGTCAATCCAACGGTTTCTACAACATCATCCCCCCCCCCCTTATACATCTTAAGATTCTTTTCCCAGAACTATTCTTTTTCCCAAAACTTTTTAAAAATTCCAGAACATAGCACGCCGCCCTATGTACAAAGTCGTTTAAGTCGCTTTGCTATAGTGAGCGTGTTGTACATGGTTATTGGCCTATTGCAATGGATTGTTCACGTGCTCATCATTGAGCGTTTGATTGTGGATCCATTCCATAATATCATCGATCTATGCTCAATTGCTAACATCAGTGTGTTGTCACTAACACATCCACTCTATGGATTCTATATTCACGGAAGATCGGTACATGGACGTGCTGATACGGACATGGTGCACATGAATCAATACCTTCAAAATGAACGGGTTTGCTGCTTTTTGATCAGTCTGATTTTGATCAATTTGATCAA